TCTCAAATGTTATTAGATGGATGCCATGGTATCCAATTGTAATTTTATTTTATTTGTCTATTTCTCCATTTAGTTCTATCAGTTTTTGGTTCACACTTCTTATAGTTCTGTTGTTTGATGCGTGCACATTTGCAATTGCTATATTTTCATAATGGATAGCCACTTTTCTCCTTAAGTAATGTTTGTCTCTGCCTCTCTGTCCCTAGTGATTTTCTTTACTCTGAACTGTACTTTATTTGATGTGAATGGAGCCCCTTCTCTTTTCATTTGATTCATGTTTGCATGGCCTATCTTTCCCTATTTAACTTTCAACCTACCTATATTATTACATGTAAAGTGAGTTTCTTACACACAGTATATAGCTGAGTCATTTTTTTCTTAACCCACTCTCAATCTACATTGTTTAATTGATGTATTTAGATCATTTATATTTAATTTACTAATTCATAAACCAGGAAAAATTCTACTATTTTATTATTTTTGGTTTTGGTTGTTCCCTTTGTTTTTTGTTTCTATTTTCTTTTCTCCTGCCTTACAGAGGGTTCAAACGTTTTAGAACTGCATTTTGATTTATGATAGCATTTTTCAGTGTATCTCTTTGTATATATAGACTTTTTAGTTGTTGTTTTAGGTATTACATTATATATACCAAACTTGTCATAGTCTACTAGTTTCAAAATCTTACCTTTACAAATTAAGTGTAGAAGCCTTACATCCCTTTAAATCTGTTTAGCTTCTCCATTTATGGTAAAATTGGCTTAAGTATTTCCTCTACATACATTGAGAACATCAGGTGATATTTTAAGTTTTGCTTCAACCATTAAAATAATTTAGAAAACTCAAGATGAAAAGGGAAGTTGGTTATGTTTACCCATATATTTGCTCTTTCTGTTGTTCCTTGTTCTTTCCTGATATCTTAGTTTTTCTTCATCTGAGAATATCTTGATTTTTCCTCTATTCCTAAAGTATATTTCTGCTGAGTATAGAATTGAGTTGACAGTTCTTTGCTTTTAGCACTTGAAAAATGTGGCCACTTCTTTCTGAACTTCATGGTTTCTAATAAGATATCTGCTTTCGTTCAAATTGTTTTTCTCCTGTAAGTAAAGTGTTATTTCTTGTGTGCTATTTTCAAAAATAATATTTTTGTTTTAGTTTTCAGAAGTTTTACTATGACTTCTCTCGTATGAAAATTCTGGGTTCAACCTGTTTGGGATTTGCTGAGCCTCCTGAATCTATAGATTATATCTCATGCCAAATTTGAGACATTATCAATCATAATTTCTTCAAATACTTTTTCAGTACAACTCTCTTTATCTTTTGTTTCCAAGACTCCAATGGCATAAATATTAGATCTTCTGTTATAGTCCCTCAAGTTCCTGAGGGTCTGTTTTTGTTCTTGTTTTTGTTTTTCCCGTCTATTTCTTCTCAGTTGTTCAAACTAGGTAATAACTATTCTGTCTTTGAGTTTGCTAATTCTTTACTCTGTCCTCTCTACTTTTGAACCTATTCACTGAGTTTTAAATTACTCTTTCTGTTCTAAAATGTCATTTTAGTTTTTCTTTGTATTTTTTATTTCTTTGCTGAGACATTTTTGTTGAAACTTTAAAAAAAAATTTGTTTCCAGCATTTTTATTTATTTATTTATTTTTTAAGATTTTATTTATTTATTTGACAGAGAGAGACATAGCGAGAGCAGGAACACAAGCAGGGGGAGTGGGAGAGGAAGAAGCAGGCTTCCTGAGGAGCAGGGAGCCTGATGCGGGGCTCGATCCCAGGACTCTGGGATCATGACCTGAGCCGAAGGCAGACGCTTAACAACTGAGCCACCCAGGCGCCAAGTTGCAGCATTTTTATGATCACTCCTTTAAAATTCTTTTCAGATAATTCTAACATCTGTGTCATCTTGGTGTTGACATTTGTTGATTTCTTTTTCTCATTCAAGTTGAAATTTTTGTGTTTCATGGTATGATAAATGATTTTTTATTGAAAATTGATTACTTGGGTATTATCTTATGAGACTGGAAATTATTTAAACCATATGTTTTAGTAGTCTTCCTCTGACACATTTCTGCTGGGGAAGGAGGGTACCACCTCTTTATGCCAGATCAGGGTAGAAGTCTCTGTTCCCACCCAGGGACGAGGGGGAAGGGGTTCCATGTTATTAGTGGACTGGTATAGAAAATCAGGTTTCCACTAGGTCTCCACTGATACTACACTGGCTGGGAGGGGAACAGCACCTTGATACTGCTCTCCTCATGGCCTCCACTGATACCATAGTGGTGGAGTGGCCTTACTTATGAGTGATAGTGAAATTTTTGACTCTCCACTAGGTCTCCTCTGACACCATCAAAGCAGCGATGGACAGGGTGTGTCATTACTGCCTGGTGGGGAAGAAAATCCTGCCCACTCAACTCAACCATTTTTATTTTATTTTATTTATGTATTTGTTTATGTATGTATTTCTATATGTATCTATCTATCTAGTTAATGAAGTATAGTTTACACACAATGTTACATTAGGTCTAGGTATACAACATGCTGATTCCATAGCTCTATACATTATGCTGTACTCACCACAAGTGTAGCTGCCATCAGTCAACTCAACATTTTTTAATATCACCCCTCCTCTCCACTCCCAACCCTTTACTTCTACCTACTCTTGCAGGAAAGGAAATTTGGTAAGTTTTGTTGCAGCCTGGGAGACTAGTCTATTCTCCTCATAGACCTTTACTGGTGAAGGTGGTGTGGGATGCAGTTTTTTCAGTGGTATTTGGCAGGACTAGAGCAATTATTGTCTAAAAGCTTGCTTCTTGCTAGGCTGCCCCTTTTCTGGTACTTTGGCTAGAGAAAGCAGGCTTTTTCTGGCAGGGTTTATTTGTTTTTTGTTTTGTTTTGTTTTGTTTTGTTTGTCTATGCCTATTGGCATTTCTGAGTTGCCATCTTCTCTATCACCCAGTCCGGCTTAATTCATGAGGGAAAAGGAAAACCCAGGGAATGCAGAGCCATGTTGTTCCTCAGATCCTTAGGTTCCTAGCCAGTTGGACTTCTATTCCCTACTTTTAAGAGTCATCTTATGCTTGTTTTACATATGTCAAGTTTTTAATATAGTGGAAAGAATGGGGTAAAGCACATCTAATCCATCTTTCCTAACACGTAGCTGCCTTAATTTTTTTCATTATAAATTTATTTTTTCTGGTTAGCTCAACCTAGGTTTTCATATCTTCTATCTCAGAATGTTGCTTGAACTGGGCTTATTCCTTACCACCATAGAATATAATGTCAGTAATGTTTACAAGGGAAACATAAAAATCTAAGGAAGAAAAATTTAGTGTTTAATGAACTTTCTTAATTACAGAACTTCTCTGACCCAGTTAATATTTCAGAACACCCAGCCTCTATATATATGATACCACTGAAATGGCTATGTCTCTATCAATCTTTACTTTTGCAATTCTGTAACTATTGTTGATTGTCGAAATCAATCAGAAAAACTTGATTGCAATATAAATAAATATGAAGATGGCTATATACAGTGGAAAGACCTCATGGCTATAAATGAAGAAAAGGTCAAAATTTTTATGAGTGTAGCTAATTTTAATCAGTATTTTTAAGTTAAATGATAATTATAATGAACGAAAACTGAAATAGAGGACAGGAGACCTCAATTCTTACCAAGTTTTAGCTACCTAGTGTAAAGGATCAGAGACAAAACTTTTTCGTTGGACTCTATCCCAACTCTTGCCAGCCAGCAAGGTTGGAATAACATGTAATCTTTAAGGTTATTGTCAGAATAATTGGATGGACTGAGTATGTTTACTGAATGAATAGTGTGGATTAATGCTACCTGATCACAGGTCATCTCAGTCCTTCTTGGGCACTCAGTATTTACTCTCCATCTCTCGATACTTTTGGATATGCTGACTGGATGTGAGCTGTCCACACAATTGATTTCTGTTCTGTTATTATTATTATTCAAATATCATAGTTTAAAAATACATCATTCAATATAAGAAACATACAAACTCTCACTTTTTCCTTGGAGTTTAAGGGAAGTATTTATTTGGACTATGAAATGGAGATTTGTACACATGGATATGTTATGAATAATGAAGAGTCAAAGTTGGATTTACAGGATTAAAAGAATTAAAATGTCTCTAGACTACAATTTTGGTAGGAGAGTAAATGCTTTACTTTTATCTTGGTACACATCCTTTCCTGGCATGTGCATGCAAATGCATGTGCACAAACACCCTTTATTAATAATGCAAGAAATTTAAGGGACTGGTATTGGTTTAAAGAATATGTTATGAAACTCATGAAAATAGTTTTTTTAATTGAGAAACGTCTGCAGTCTAAAAGATATCTTCCCAACCTCCACAATCTCTACATGAGGCATGTAAATGATCAGGTCTTAGAACAAATAAAATTATGCTCTATTTCTGTAATTATAATCTAGGGGCTACACTTACACTTATCTGCCAGTTTTAATTGGATCTATAAGGTAAGATTTATTTATGATAATTCATGGATGATCTAATTGTCCATATTCCAAAAAGCAGATCCAGATGCTATTAGGAACTCTTAATAATATTTAGTCCGGATTCTCTGAGAAAGGAGAGAAGGATTGTGGCCAGACAATAGCAAAATTTCTTGTAGTCTGATTAGCTCATTTTTCCAAATGCTTTTTCTCTTGGCCATATCACCATTCAGAATCCAATTTTGGCATTCCCAAATGACTCATTTATCTGGATTATTCATATATAATGAGTGTGTTATTTTGTGGTGCAGGATCACATGGCTTTTGGAGACCGAAACCAACTTTATTTCATTATGACTGATTTCCTAATGTTCCACACAATTTTCACTGCAGAATGGAGGCAGCAGCATGGAAGTGATGATGAATTAGTATTTATTATAATTATTTCACAGATAATTTCTATTTATATTTATCATGACTCCACCTCACAAATGCATTTATTTCAAAAACATTTTTGTTCTAGATGACGAGTGATTTCTCCAAATTATCTTATAATCTGAGACACCATTGTCACTATCAAGTTTAACAAGAAAAACAGGTGCCAAGACAAGAAGATTTAAGACAAAATAGATATAATGTATGAAAAAACAATACGAAACCCACTACAAACATTCGTTGAAAACTTGTATGCCAAATGTGGTAAGTTTTTTTTTTTAATTAGCTATTTTTATAGATTATTATTTGTTATACTTGTATATTATCTATTTTTTACTTTGGTAAACAAACTGCATAATAAAAACACAAGTAACATATTTGTTTAAAAATATTTGTTAATCATAGCTGTAAGATAAAGCATTAAGTTATAAAGCAATTTAATCAACAAAATTTTTTTGTTTCAATATAATTCTGAAGCCTTTTTCTCTTTTCTCTGTATTTTAAGTATCATAAATTTGTCATTATTGCGTTTTTCATCAAAGAATCTTACCATATCTCAAATTTAATATTCTAAATTTAAATACTGTTAAAAATTATTTTTAGTGAGCCTATATTAAGCTTTAATTTTTTAAAGGAATAAATACTAAACAAAATTTTGTCTATTGTTTGCCATGTATCAGTAAAAAGTAATTGAAAATGCTTAATTTCTGTTCACCAGAAAATGATAACTCTCTATTACCTAAATAACTAATTTCCAACATTCCTTTTTGCTCACCCAAAACTAATCATTCAGATAAGTTTTTTTTTTTTTTTTAATTATTGTGTCACAGACAGTCTACAGAATGGGAGAAAATTTTTGCAAACCGTATATTGGATAAAGGATTAATATTCAAAATATATAAAGATCTCAGTCAACTCAAAAACAACAATAGCAACAACAAAAACCCCAAATAATCTAATTAAAACACGGACAGAAGACATTTCTCCAAAGAGAACAACAAAATGGCCAACAGACACATGAAAAAATGCTCAACATCACTAATTATCAGGGAAATACAAATCAAAACCACAATGATATATCACCTCATACCTGTTGAATGCCTGTCATCAAGCCAAGAAACAACAGGTGCTGGAGAAGATGTGGTGTAAAAGGGATCCCTTATGTATTGTTGGTAGGGATGTGAATTGGAACCACTATGGAAAACAATATGGAGGTTCCTAAAAAATTAAAAATAAATCTACCATACAATCTAGCAATTCCACTTCTAGGTATATACCCAAAGGAAATAAAAACATAATTTTGACAAGATATTTACATTCCCATGTTTCTCACAACATTATTCATAATAGGCAAGGTATGGAAACAATCCAAATGCCCATTAATGGATGAACAGATAAAAAAGATGTGGTACGTATACATAATGGAATATTATTCAGCCATAGGAAAGGAAGATACCCTTCCATTTGGCTCAGATTTTTCCACTTGTAAGATGAACATATTTTTAGGATGCTTGGGTGGCTCAGTCAGTTAAGCGTCTGCTTTCACCTCAGGTCATGATCCCAGGGTCCTGGGAGCAAGCCCCGCATCGGGCTCCCTGCTCACCTGGGAGTCTGCTTCTCCCTCTGCCTCCCTCTCTGCTTGTGTGCTCTCTCTCTTTCTCTCAATCTCTCTCAATAAATAAATAAAAACTTTAAAAAAGAGATGGACATATTTTCACTTCCAGAGTAGGAGCCCCAGACATGCAAAGAGGAGCTGAATATAAACAATCAATGTCCATGAGAATGACTCTTGATGAACCAATTTCCCACTCCAGTTTCTATTCAGTCTACCTTTGGGAGCTGTCCCAGCTTTGACTTTGATCTACAGAGTCCAGTAGATCTCTTTATGGGAGGTTAGGGCAATGGCAACACCATTCCCTATGTGGAGCAAAGTTCTACCTCAGAACACAATATGTACACAATTAACTCATTCAGAAATTAAAGGAACCTTTATATATACAGATCCATCATTTTTAGAAAGGGAAATTACAAATATTTTCATCTATCATCATCATCATCTGGATATCAGTGTTATGTGCTTTTCCCTGAGCTTTTTCTGAGCAAGCAATCCAAGAGACAACACAAAATGCCTTTATGGTCCAGCTTTGGAAGTCATGCATCATAATTCTGTCATATACAAATAGTTGTACCATCTTATCTGTGATTCAATGTGGGAGGGCCCCTCTTGAATACCAGGAAGCAAGATCACTCTGAGACCCATCTTAGAGGCTAGCAGCCAAATATGTTTACCTGAGTTTATAAAACTTAATGTTTTATATTTTTTTAATATTTAAAAATATTTTAATTTATCCAGATTTTCAAGTCATTAATATATTTCTAAATGTTAGGTTTAATTCCAGAATGATATTCCATTGTGTAGCTATGTGTAATTGTATAGCTATAATTTATTTAACACATCTATTATTGGAACATTTAGGTCATTTTATTTTTTGCCATTTTAAAACAACCAGTGAGCAAATTCAGTGCTAGATCTTTACATAGAAATGGAATAATATGGATCCTTAAAATTACTAGAATTAAACTCTCTGGATCCAATGGCACAAGCCAGAGGATAAGCTTTGAATATATTGGAAAATTGTTCTCAAAAAAAATTATTTCAGTTTAATTTTTTATTAGCAAAGAATTGTGAGTTGTCTATTTTTTTCTGATTTGATAATAAATTGTATTACTTGTACTTTCATTAATATTTCTTTATTACTAATTTTGCTGAAATTTATTCATAAATTCATTGCTGATTCATATTTTGGAGATTGCACATATATACATACATATGTAGACATATTGAGAGATATGTACATACATAGATTTATAAAATTAATGTTTTGCTTTTTAAAAATTATTTCTTAGAGTGTATTACATTTAAAAACTATAAATCATATTTTTAAATAGGCTTTATTGTTAGAACAGTTTTAGATAAACAGAAAAATTGAGAAGATAATACAATTTCCCTTATATTAACCATTTACATTAATATGATATATTTGTTATAATTAATGAACAATGAATAATTAATGAACAATTATTGATGCATTATCGTTAAAGTCCACACTTTGTTCAGATTTCCTTAGATTTTACCTAATGTCCTTTTTTTATTTCAGGATGCCATCTAGGATATTACCTTACCTTTAGTTGTCACATATCCTAAGGTTCTTCTTGTCTGTGAAAGTTTCTCAGATTTCCTTTGTTTTTGATGACCTGGCCAGTTCTAAGAAGTACTGATCCAGGTATCTTATAGAATGTTCCTCTATTGGAATTTGATGTCTTTTTAATGAATAGACTAAGGTTATAAGTTTTTAAGAAAAGAACTTCAGAGGCAAAGTACCATTTTAATCACACCTTGTCAAGGGCACGTACTGTTAAAATGATTTATCACAGTTGATGACCTTGATCACCTGGCAAAAGGTATTTGTCAGGATTCTCCACTATAGTTTCAGTCTCTCTTCTCTCTCTCTCTCAACCCATATGTAAAAAATGAGGACTTATGCTCCCATGGAATATCTACATAAAATGTTTATAATTCTGAATCAGAGATTTGATTTGTCTCAAGTATTACTTTATTTTATTGCTCAAATTGTTTGAGCTTTGGTAATTGAGAGCTCTTTCATCAGATCCTTTGACATACCCCTATCAATCGAGGTTTTTGTTTTCATATTTTCTGAGAAAGTCTTTCCTTTTTGGCACTACTAGATGCTCTAGACAAACAGGTTCATCTTGTGTATTTCTTGCATCAGTCCTGGAAGCAGGAATTCTCTATGAAAACTCTGTGTGTGTGTGTGTGTGTGTGTGTGTGTGTGTGTGTGTGTCTGTGTCTGTGTCTGTGTAACTGGAGAATGATATAAGAAACCAATATATGGTTACGGTTACCAGGTATGCTCACTTCTGCCAGGGTGCCATTGCTTCTAACCCATGTCAGCTGATGTAGCAAAGACATACATGTGTTTATGCTAACCTGTGTATATCCACACATATATAAATATTTCTATATGTATTTGTAACTATATTAAGCAAAACATGAGTTCATATTGATATCTCCATGAGGTCTACTTCATTAGCATATGAGTCACTCTAAACTTTTCCTCTTAGTTTTCTGGAAATTCCCACTCCAAATAGTGAGAAACTTCACTCCCACTTTCTGCCATCTAGTTACTTAATTGTTCAATTTCCATTTTTACATGTATAGTAGTATCAGAATTGTTAGCCTATTCCTCCATGGGAAAATACCTTATTAACTAGAACACAGGGCTTATGTGTAGTTCTCTTTTTTTTTTTTTTTTAAGATTTTATTTATTTATTTGACAGAGAGAGAATGAGAGAGAGAGCACATGAGAGGGGGGAGGGTCAGAGGGAGAAACAGACTCCCTGCCGAGCAGGGAGCCCGATGCGGGACTCGATCCCGGGACTCCAGGATCATGACCCGAGCCGAAGGCAGTCGCCCAACCGACTGAGCCACCCAGGCACCCTATGTGTAGTTCTCTTGACTTCAGTCTTATAATTCCACTCATTTTCAAAGTTACTTAAAAAGTCAGCACCTTTTCTTTCCACCCCCTTCAGTGACATTGTTTCATACATTTGAAATAGTGAGTTCTTTTGTCACTATCTGCTTTCCATCCTGGAAACTCTCCATGTCTTAAAGGAGAGATTTTAAATTTTTTCATTCATAACTTTCACTTTCTGTGCCATAAAGTTCTATAGATTTTGACCAATGCATGGTACTGTGTACCCACCTATTATAGCATCATTAAAAAATAGTTTTACTGCCCTAAAAATTCTCTTGTTTCACCTATTCTATCAACTCCCAAACCCCTGACAACCACTGATCTGTCTACTATCTATAGTTTTCCTATTTCCAGAATAATATTTAGTTGGAATCATACAGTATATAGCCTTTTCAGACTGCTTCTTTCACATAGCAATGCGATTTGAAGGCTCATACATGTCTTATTGTGGCTTAATAGCTAATTTATTTTTGTCACTGAATAATATGTCATTATATGGATGCATCATAGTTAATCCATTCACCCGTTGAAAGATATCTTGGTTGCTTCTAAGTGATTTTGAATGAAGGTGTTACAAACTTTTACGTGCAGGTTTTTATGTGGACATAGTTTTTTTGATAAATACCCAGAAGCACAATTGCTGAACTGCCAAACATCTCCTAAGCTGGTGTACCATTTTGCATTTCCATCAGCAATGAATTAAGTCCC